GCTGACGGAAAAGAAATTTTGCAAAGCTCAACCCTTCCATCAAAGTTTCCTCCTTTGGTGCAACTCTCTTTCCTACCAGTTTCCCAAAGTTTTTTTTTTCGAGATTTTTCTTTCAGTTTTCTCGGAAAAGGACCAGCTGTTGGAGAGAGTTGTGAATAACCACACATGAAACTTGAAACGAGTAAAGTCAACGACGAAAACCTTTTCTCGAAGGCAAATATGGCCTTTGGGTAGAGATTTCTCTCTTCCCTCCTGCGACCAAATGCGACCTCCTCGCTGGGATACCCATCGTTCGAAGTGCCCTGGTTCGTGTAGATTTTCGTAGGCGGTAGTGACTACGCTGAGGTGGTGTAGTGGTAAGTGATGCCGCTCAGCAAGCATGCGCTCCTGGGATCAAACCGTTGACGCGCCCTTGCCCTGATCAATCAAGGATGAACTCAAGAACACCAATTTGTGCTTGGACTGCTTTTGCAGTTGAAAGTCTCTTAGAGTCTCTTGCCGTTGATCAATCCCTTTGTGGGATGCGGCACGCATTCTACTTCCATTCAGAATCGTAGTGGCTTATTGAATGCGATGTGGCCTATACAATGACTTGCGGGGCCAGCCGATGTACAAGTCAGTGTTTTATCCTCTCGGACGAATGTGGTACCAGTTCCGCCCCTGGGGATAGAGGGCTTGGTTGGCCTGAGTGGGAGCCGATCCGGGATTTGATCCCCGGACTGTGCGCGTTGTAAGTGGGCCACTTGTCACTATACCACCCCTTCCTTGTTTTATTATTCACGAAAAAAGGGCCATGTTAATCCCTTCATGTGACTGCCTAGTTGAGGCGGAGCCTCCTACACTTCGGGACGAGTTGACACCATATTCGTTTGGAAGGATAAAGAGACCGACTTCCACGTTGGCTGGCCCCCGTAAGTCAGTCTATAGTCAAACAAAAAAGTACGTTATTTAAATAAGCCAGTATGATTCGGTTAAAGTAGAATGCTTGCCGCATATCGAAAAAGAAATGATCGGTGGGCGTGATTTTATCCTTTACATCTTCTATGAATGTATTATTAGCTCGAGGTTGAAAATGGTAGTGCTTTTGTTCACAAGGCATGTCAGATATTCTGTGCGAAGTACTTCTTAACTGAACGTATTTTCAGCTGATCTAGCAATTTCTGCTGAAGATATAGAACTTGTCGAGGAACATGGTGTACCGCCGCAGCCGCCTCCTTTAACACCTGGCGAAGAATATATGCCCGAGAAGGCTGCTGCTGTTACGTATGTTTGAAGATTCTTGAGTTTTCTCTTCACTCTATCTTGATCTTGGCCTAGGAAGTTGAGCTTTGCTAACTTCACGGATTTCGGGAACCAGGAAAAGTGATTCGCTTGATGCTCATCTTTTCCTACTGGTATACTATTTAAGTGACGAGCATGTGGAAGCGACCTATCAACAAGCGTTGAGATTTCTTGAACGAGGACGTGGACATGGCGTCGAAGGTAAAAAGGCAGCCTTATCGCTTGCTCGATCAGGCTGCTCAATCCGGACATCCCGATGCCATGAAGCTCATGGGTTAGTTTGTTACTCCTTATTTTTTGCCCCAATTATTGTAAATATAGTTAATTTCAGCATATGCTCATCTTTTTGGTGACCGAGCGCGATGGTCCATTGATGAGGCGAGGAAAATTTTTGAGGAACTTGCTGAAAATGGTTCACCTGATGCTCAGCTCGGTTTGTTCTTGTCTTCTGAAAACGGAGTCTCCGAGAGGGGCGTATTTGCATTTGCGCTGTTTAGGTCTCGCCTTCATGCATGCTACAGGGCTAGGCATGGCGAAATCGAATCAAGCCAAGGCTCTTGTATACTACATGTTCTCAGCGCTGGGTGGGAATCCGCTCGCTCAGATGGCCATGGTGAGTGAAGCTGCTAAGACTTATTCTTGGGTGGAAATACTTTTCGGGCTATAATAGTCCCCCCCCCCACCCTTTTCATCAGTTTCTCCTGTTTTTCTTTCATCATTTGCATTCCCGTGTTAACTACGTTGACGTTTTCAGGGCTACCGCTATTATGCTGGGATTGCTGTCCCTCAAAATTGTGAGAATGCATTGTCGTATTACGAGAAGGCTGCTCAGAAAGTCGCTGATGGTTTTAGATTTTCCACCGGTCTTGCTATTCAGCGTATAAGATTGACTGATGAAATGGTAAGTTACGTCTTGATGGGAGAGCATGGGTTTTTGGTGAATAATTACCCGAGCAAACTGTGACCATCTTATTCTTTTCATTCAGGAACCGTCCTCAACGAACACAGTGACAGTTCCCATGGATCAAAATTTGATCGAATACTATAGGTTCTTGGCTGAGAAGGGCGATGTCTCTGCGCAGGTAAGTACCTCAGAAAATTTCTTGAGTCTTCGTAGATTTCTGAACGATGGCGCTCACAAATCATACAATTTTCTCCTACTTTTCCTGAGTCTACACTTTACTTCCCCTAATATGTCCTTCATTGCTGCTTGCAGGCGCATTTCATGTTTAATTGATGCCAGACGTCCTCCTTGGGCATGGTTATTCTGCCAGCAAGCATGGAGGATATAGTACTTTCACAGCTCAAAAATATGTGAGGGAAGCACGGCTCACTCGCTACGAACCCACGCTCCTGCCCACTGACTACCGCACTCCCAGTTTATTCTAAAAGCTTCCTGGTGGTGCGGTTGTGCCGCTTCTAGCTTAAACCATTTCGAACGGTGGTGAGGTGATAAGAGGCAAGAGCTGACACCAGTATGTGAGAACTCGTCCAGCCACGTCTTTTCTTCTCGTCTTTCTCGAGCAATACAAAGGCGGTTCGGTATGGGGCTGTATATGGGCCACTGGAGTGGTTTCTTTCCTGCCTTTATTTTTGTATTTATCACCATCTTCTCTTCAGTATTTGAGCCGACAAATCACCGCCTCTGAACAAGGGGCATGCCTTTCACCAGTTTCTCGAGCCTTCATGAGTTTGAATTCTTCTGTCGTCGACCACCTCCACTGAAATATCACCTATCGCTTGGGTTCGACCCGTACAGTCCCATGTACATGGACGAGCAAGCAAGCAGATCAGGGATATATAGAAGATGGGCATGAATGACATGGTCATATAATGTAAAGATTGGGATCGAACGGGTCCTCTCATGCTTCTTCGCTCCCTCCCTCCCTTCTTCCCCCCCCCCCCCAATCCTCACTACCATTGCATAGCAGGATCAGTTCGGATGGTTGCAGGATATTGTCCCATTTAACAGTCACAAGTTTCTTATGTTAACTCCAGTTGATTTCGAATACGTTTCGACACCACAACTGGAGTTTTGAATACTTTATATACTAAACTGTCGCTGTGGGATCTATCACGCACATTGTTTTATGCTCAGCGCTGTTATGCTTGCAAGGTCTTTTTTTGCTCACTTAAACTCGATACTCATTTGTCAGCACATTGCGGCGTGAAAAGTGTAAAAAAAATGCCAAAAAAACAAGCGCGAGTTCTGGGCAAAATAGCCTCCGCCGCAAATTTGTTAGAACTCAATATACTGTTCATTTCTATGTTATGTGAGGTACAATAGTTCGATTACTTTTATAAATTTAGGTTGGACTTGGACAATTGTATTTAACTGGGGAAGAGGCGTTGAACAGAA